CACTTTTCTGTTATCCCAGTGTCACAACCAGGGAGGAACCAAGATTGGGAAAGAAATGAGGTGAATCTTGAGTACTTCGAAAGTAGTAATGATCAACAGGAGTCCCAATTGTTCAGGATGGCCATTTGGAATATGTTGTCTGTTATGTTGTGAGGGCGGTTGCCTGAAGAATTCCATATGCAAACTTGAATTGTAAGTGGAGATACTAAGGGAGTTATTGGTTTAATCCAATCCAAGTTGTTACCGTGGCGTAGCATCTTAATTATAGGGATCAACAGTGTCGCTTTGTAATATAACGTCAAGTCCGGATAGTTAAGGCCACCTTGTGTAGGTCTTCTCCTGAGTGTTGTGAATTTTGTCCTTTGACGTTTACCTTGCCATAGGAATGAGTTTAATGTCCTTTGCCATTGATTAAGTGTGTCATTTGGTAATTCGATAGGAATCATATGAAATAGAATATAAGAGTTTGGGGAGAATGAAAGATCTGATTAGGTATAATCTCTCCAAGTAGCCCAGCTGGAGTTTCTCCCATTTGTGAAGTTCACTTTTAATTTCTGAGAACTTTGATTGGTGATTTCTAGAATATAAGTCAGCTATCTTCCTTGGTAGATGTATTCCCAGGTAATGAAGAGATGTGCTGGACCATTGATATTTATGTTGTTTTTTTCAAATGTAGCTCCAAAGACGATGATAAATTCAATGGCATTATGAGATATTTAGAATGGTTGACTTTGAGTCCAGAAACCACACCAAATTGTTTCAAAGTTTGCTGCATGTGATTCATAGAAATATCCGGATCTGTCAAGTATACCAACATGTTGTCCGCGAATAGACGTAGTTTGAAGGTGTGGGGACCTACCGAAATTCCTTGGATGTTATTATTGTTTCTAATTTTAGTTGCCAATGGTTCAAGGGCCAGGGCAAAAAGGATTGGCGACAATGGGCATCCTTGTCTAGTGCCTCTATTTAGCAGTATGGTCCTGGACGACAGTCCATTTATCTTGATTTGGGCTGTTGGTGATGCATAGATTGAGGTGACAGCTTGAAGGAACTTAGAACCAAAACCCATATGGCATAGTAGCGCGGTCAAGTAAGATGTTTCAAGGGAGTCAAACACCTTCTCTATATTGAGTGATAGGAGTATTGATTCTAATTTTGATTTTTCACATGATGACATAATATTCAGTGTTTTAAAGATGTTGTCCATTATGTCTCTACCGGGTACAAATCCAGAAAGCAGGCATTCCTTCTGATATCTGGGACTTAGAATTTCAAGGCCCCGAAGCTGAGAGCCAGCACTTTAAATAATGTCTGTGGCCAAGGGCCCACATACTTGAAGAACCATTTTTCACAATATGAACCTGTATCCTTCCCCCCATTATTGACCCAGTTTCACCTCCTTTCTGGTCATTCTCTCCTGCAAGGCGATATGGACGGTCATTGCCTGATCTCAGGCATTCTTAGTGGTCTGAAGCAGTTCCATTTTACCTGACTGCCTTGGCATTTTGATGGAGTTGTAAGGTGGAATTGTTCTGCTGATACTTTCAAGATATAAACAGCATTTTTGTTGACTTGACGGGGATAATACAATCCTATCCAACCTTTTCCATGATCAGATGGATTCCCAGCCAACATTACTTTCATCTTGTCTGGATTAGTCTGTTTGCCTGTTCCTCACTGCACCCAAGCACAGACATAGGGCTTCAGCATCTCTCTCAGAATTAGATGGCAGAAATAAAGATGTATTACATATCCATATTGGAAACACCAGTAATTTCATATAAGAACATAAGAGACGCCAATGTTGGATCAGGCCAAAGGCCCATCCAGTCCAACACTCTGTATCACACAGTGGCCAGAAATACCAGTGCAATCAGGAGGTCCACCAGTGGGGCCAGGACATTAGAAGCACTCCCACTGTTGACCCCCCCCCCTAGCAACAAGAAGACAGAGCATCACTTCCCCCAGAGCCCCTATCTATACCTTGTGGCTAATAGCCACTGAGGGACCTCTGCTCCATATGCTTATCTAATTCCCTTTTGAAGCCATCCATGCTTGTAGCCGCCACCACTTCTTGTGGCAGTGAATTCCATGTGTTAATCACTCTTTGGGTGAAGAAGTACTTACTTTTATCCATTCTAACCAGACCGCTCAGCAATTTCATGGAGTGCCCACGAGTTCTTGTATTGTGAGAAAGGTAGAAAAGTACCTTTCTCTACCTGCTCTATCCCATGCATAATCTTATAAACCTCAATCATGTCACCCCTCAGTCATCGTTTCTCCAAGCTAAAGAGCCCTAAGTGCTTTAACCTTTCCTCATAGGGAAAGTGTTCCAACCCTTTTATCATTCGAGTCGCCCTTTTCTGCACTTTTCCCAAAGCTATAATATCCTTTTTAAGGTGTGGTGACCAGAACTGCACACAGTATTCCAAATGAGGTCGCACCATTGATTTATATAGGGGCATTATGATATTGGCTGATCTGTTTTCAATAACCTTCCTAATAATCCCCAGCATAGCATTGGCCTTTTTATTGCAGTCACACACTGTCTTGACATTTTCAGTGAGTTATCTACTACAACTCCAAGATCTCTCTCTTGATCAGTCTCTGCCAGTTCAGACCCCATCAATGTGTATTTATATTTAGGATTTTTGGCTCCAATGTGCATTACCTTGCACTTGACCACATTGAACCCCATTTGCCATGTTGATGCCCACTTGCCCATCCTTGACAGATCCCTTTGGAATGCCTCACAATCCTCACTGGTTTTCACCACCCTGAACAACTTCGTATCATCCGCAAATTTAGCCACTTCACTGCTTACTCCCAACTCCAAATCATTAATGAATAAGTTAAAAAGCAGTGGACCAAGTAATGATCCCTGCGGTACCCTACTGCTTACCACCCTCCACTGAGAGAATTGCCCATTTATACTCACTCTCTGTTTTCTATTAATTAGCCAGTTTTTGATCCATAAAAGGACTTGTCCTTTTATCCCATGATTTTTGAGCTTACTTAGGAGCCTTAATGAGGAACTTTATTAAAAGCTTTCTGGAAGTCAAGGTAAACAATATCTATTGGGTCCCCCTGGTCCACATGTTTGTTCACCCCCTCAAAGAACACTAACAGGTTCTTTGTATATAGTGTCTTGTATATAGATGTTTATGAAGGCAAGATGGAATCCCACAATTTAGTGGCCACAGAATCTAGTAGTGGTCCTTTAAGACTATTTTATATATTCTGTATTCCAGGAACACCAAGTTTCCCTTTCTCAGCATTACTCTCTAACAGAGAAATCTAGTTTTATTGCATTAATCTTTATATGTAGTATACTGTTTTCTGCATTGTCTGCATAACTTTGCAATCTTTCTTTGATCTGTACTTGAAAGGCATTGCCAGGAGAAGGCAAAGAGGAAATGGTGAGGGGAAGAGGATACAGGGGAAAGTGTGGTGCTCCTCACAAGTCCTTGTGGGTTCCTTACAGTACAATTGCTCCTGGCCTGGCAGCCAGCACCACATAACTTGGCCATAGTTTTTCCAGGCTGAGTGTGCCAAGGGAGGAAAGGAGGGAGAGCTGAATTTGGGGGCCAGATAAAGCTATATTGGCTAGGGGGGACAAGGAAGCTGTTGTGTACCAAGGGAGACCACACACGCGGTCAGGCTCGCATGTGGCCATGCGGACAGGTTAAGCTTCGCATCTTGAGACAAAAGAAGTGAAGGATCCAAGAGCTAGTCAATTGGCCAGCCCGGATCCTAAAAAGAACCAATGGTGGGAGTTGTTTGTAAATAAACCTATCATGGTGTGTGTGTGTGTGTTGGGAGTGGTTAAGAATGGGAATATAACCGGGCCATGGGTCTCGCTAGTTATCTCAAGTTCTCCTATGCATGAATAAAGTATGAGCTGAAATCACTATGCTATGCCTCAGTCTCAGTACTTTATAGAAGCAGAAAAAGGAAAGATACTATGGGGGTCTTCAGGAAGGAAAGGAGGAAATAATGGAGGAGGGAAATGCCCCCGCATGTCCTTATGGGTCCCCTGCTTGTAGTTTAACTAATTTACTGATTGTTACCAGATGCTCTGTCTTTCTGTATTTCAAAATATCTCTATTTTCATGTTGTCATAGGATCAAAAGTAATTTTTTTCTGCCTGAGGCTACAGGAGGGCCCTAATGACTCCAAAGTGGCCAAACGTTCTTAAGAAAGTGAGAGGCTATTGTTTAATTTCTGCTTGGTATTTTCTTCCCTACCAAAATAATCTTCAGCAAGCTCTTTGCTCGGGGAGTCTTTAGTGTCTTGCCCTTAGACTAATGGAAAGGACAAAATTCAGACTGTGACTCAGCTAAGCATCTTGCTATTAGCAAGGCTACGCTACTAATTGGTATTATTCCTTATGAGCCATATCATATTGTTTCGTTGTCAAAAGCTAAAAGCTCACAAGGGAGAATTCTTGGCTCCATCAGTTTCCTTTAAGGATGATGCTTGTGTGTTCTTGTTATAAATAGCTGTTTAAAATGTGTGCAGTCTCCACTGGCTTATTCAGAATCAGTAAGAAAAGGTGGACAAGGAGAGGCAGCAAATCCTACTCAAGATAGGCTTACTTCTGCTACTTGAATTTGTGCTGAGTGGTACCAAACTCTCTACAAGCTGGCCTATTGAAATGAATAAGTCTTCTTGAGGAGTGAAGGACTGCTATATATAACAATGATTCATGCAGACAAATAAGGTGAGAAGCCATTTTCAGTGAAAGAAAGAAAGAAAAGGAAACATTAACTTGTATGAAGATATAAACCAAGCTTCCTGAAAGAAAACAACTTAATATGCAGCAACAGTTTAATTGCAAGTAAAATTTGTAATGGATTTGTTACCCTTGCTAATAAAGCCGTGAAATGCAAAAGTAGGATTCTGAGAAAAGCCATGTCAAAACAGTTGTGACCTTTGCAACACAAGATTTCCATGCTAATCTTTTTTTGTCCTAGAACAGTAGCTGTTCTAATTCTTACCATGCATTTGCGATCATCCAGCCCA